GCTGCAATACCATTAGAGATGCTGGAAGCTATCATGATTGCTTCCAGCGCTCTAATTCCACGCGGACATATCAGGTACGTCTGCGGTCCTTAAGGACTGTTTTTTTGTGGAGATACCTGATACGTCCTTGGTTGGGAAGGGGTTAATTATGCATTTTTCTTTGGTGGTATATCTAAAAGCAGCCTTCCCAGACTTTTTCTTGGCTGTCCAATCACAAGCTTCCCAATGCAGCTAAATGAGAAGCCTTTGCAAGGCAGGTGCTCTTGGCAATTGCTGCCTCTTAAGTTTAGCTCAATTGAGCAAACCAACCAGGAAGTAACAAGGCTTGTGGTCTACTTGAAAGCCAGGGGGTGTAACCAGGTTAATTTATAAAAGTGTCAATTTCTATTGAAATCTACAAAATGAAAAATAGGACACCCTGCACACATAAAGCTTTTCAACCAGATAAAGTGTTTAAGGGTTCTGGAGTGTCCCTTTTAAGTGGTCTATTATTTTTAATCCTGCAATGTAAAACATTGGAGGGTCAAATCCACCTCCTGTGGCTGGTGGCGCTTCAGCAGCACTGACCAAGTTAAACTTGGTCATGTGATGCATAAGCCCCCTTAAGATTGAATTCTTTCCTACGGGATAGCTTGAATGCACATGCGGTGCATGCCACGCATGTGCATTATGTCTCCAATACTTCTCTATGAGGAGCATTGGATTGGACAGATGAGGCATGGTCTCCTCCACAACTTGGTGCAGAGGTAAGCAGCATTGAGGGACCTTTGGTGCTGGAAAAATGTGATAAATTTTTTTTTTAAATTATAATGTACAGGGGGAAAGGGGGAGGCCTAAATTAGAGTAAGTGCAGTGACACTCAGGGCCGGCGCTACCTGTTAGGTGGACTAGGCAGCCGCCTAGGGCTCCCCTTGGGAAGGGGCGCCGCCAGGAGCGCCGGCCCCCCCATGCTGCAGCCGCCCGAGTGCTCTGTAGAGAGCCTAAGGTGACTGCAGCTTTGCCCGGGAGGTGCGTCCATGAGGGCGGACCGCACCGCCCGGGTGCAGCCTGAGGAGAGGGGCTGACAGGAGGGAAGCGCTCAGCACTCCCTCCTGTCACTCCCTCACTGTAGCGTGGCCGAGCCCAGTATCATGGTCCACGGGTACAGGGAGCATCTGTCTCCTGTACCCGGCCGGACTAACAGGAAGTGCACACAGAGTGTGCACTTCCTGTTAGTCCATCCGGGTACAGGAAACAAAAGCTACCTGTACCCGCGGACTATACTAGGCTCGGCCACGCTACAACTGAGGTGGGGGGGAGAATAAATGTCAGGGAGGGGGGGAGAAATTGGGAGGGGAAGGGAGAAGCACCGGGGAGGGAGAGGGGGGGAAGAAATTGACAGGAGGGAGAAGAAGAAATTGACAGGGGGGAGAAGAAGAAATTGATGGGGGGAGAAGAAATTGACGGGGGTGAGAGTGACAGGGGAGGGAGGGGCAATGAGAGTGGGAAGGGGGAGGGGAGAAGAGAGTGACAAGGGAGGGAGAGAGGGGAGAAGAGAGTGACAAGGGAGGGGGGAGAGATTGACATCCATCACACACACATGCAATGCACCCCTTGCACCAGGGGAGGGCTGGCAGCCTTAGGCCTGGGGGGCAAAACCAGTCAAGTGGCCCATTGCACCACCAAATCAGTTCACCATCCATGCCAACCTGGTTTTATAACGGATATTGATGTTATGCTAATCAGTAGCTCTTTGCCATACCCGCTCCTTCACGGCTCTGACTTTCAATGTTGTCAGAGCGCAGGCTGAGAATCTCTGAGCCTGTGCTCTGACTCACTAACTGAGCGCCAGAACCACGAGGGAGAGGATATAATCTGACTGCACCTACTGCTGGTGCGCACCAGTGGACCACCAGCGAATCATTTAAATTGAAAATGCTGGGGTCCCCAACTTGTGAGCTGTGTTGGCCGCCGGGCGCCTCTGTTGTCATGGCACCCTGCGTGACCGCACAGCTTGCACACCCCAACGGCTGGCCCTGCTGACACATACTGATGTTACTACTTAGAAATCCCTCAATATTAATACAGACATCAGAGTAAACACCAATAAACTGTGCAAACAGAGCTGATCCCCCCCAAAGATTTGCTTAATGGATTTGTTGTAAGATTAAATCATGCCTCCTCCTCTCCCTCTCCCTCTCCCATGCGCTGCGCTGTAGGCTGGGAGGAAGTGAAGAGTAATCGCATTCTCTTAGCACAGCGCCACCTGTGGCTGCATGGGGAACAGCTGTTTAATGTAATGCTTGCAGGACGGCCACCTGCCGCAGAACCTCTTAGTTCCCATCGCTGCAAAGGGCTCCAGGCACTGCTTGCTGTGAGTGTGAGCCACTAAATTAGGCAGAGGGCACTTGCACTGGGCGTAAAGACAGGTTCAAGTGCAGAAAGAGTGCAGTGCATCCTCCTCAGGGGTCACCAGTAGACTGGTGCACCTGCCCAGGATCAGAGCCAGTGCAAGGATTTTTGCCGCCCTAGACAAAATAAAAATTTGCTGCCCCCACATGTCACATCACAATGCCCCACCCATATGATCTGCCATATGAACTAACGCCAGTGCTGCACACAGTGTGTGTTTATATTAAAAAGCCTGCAGGGACCAGCTATAGACACCAGAACCACTTCATTAAGCTATAGTGTCCCTTTAATGTGAGGTAAATTATAGATTAGTGTCACTAATAATATACTAG